CCCGCCTCCCTGTCCACCCTCCAGCCACAAGTGACAACTGACAAGTCCTCCTGACCTCCTCCCCCTCCCAACGCGCTCCGCCGGGTCGCGTCGCCGCCGCCGCCGCCGTCGACCGGACCCAGTCCCGACCCCGTTAAAAGCCCGGCCGGCGCGCGTGCTCGCTCCTCACTTCATTTTTCTTCTCGAAGAAAGGAAAGGGGGGAGGATAAACAAACAGGCCAACAAATCCACTGACGGCCGTGGGGCGATGGGAACAGTGCTGGACTCCCACTTCCTGGCGCTCACCGCCCTCGTCACCGTAAATCTCTCGCGCCGCCTCCTCTGACCTCTCCTCTCCTCTCCTCACCCGCCGTCTCCGTCTCTCTGTGACTCGCCGTGTTTACTAACTGTTCCCGTTCTGGTGTTCTTGGTGGTGGTTGTGGTGCTAGGTCGGGTACCAGCTGGTGTTCTTCATCATCACAGCCCTCCTCCGCTTCGACAAGGTCACCGATTTCGCAGGTAGCACTCCACTTCCTGATTCTTCTTCTCCTTCCTCCTTTCTTCTTGTTATTATTTTCTGTCGGGTGAATCTAGTTAAAGACTGGAGTCCATGAGCTCGATTTCTCAGCCCAGTGGGAAGCTGGTCTGGCTAAGACTACAGAGTAGCTTAGCCTATTATAATCTATTGTTGCTGTCGCCATTTATCTGCCTGTCATTGATCCGACGAACAGGGTTGACTCACACCACATCACCTACGTATAGCAATTTCTACTGATAGCCTTTCTGTTTTTTGTTTCTTGGAATCTTAATATATATGCTGTACGTGTGCCAAGATTGCAATCTTTTTGTGCACGCCAATTTAGATGCTGCCTGCCTGTCCATCCTAGTTAGGAGGCAACCAGTTTCTTCAGAAATAGGTGCTCGGGTGAATTCCTTTGTCTGAAGCTCTGAGCACTAGCGTGTATTAATTTCTCTGCAGCGGAAGACATTCGTAGCATCCCTTTCCTTTTCAGCGATTTCTGATTTCTTTTCTTTTTTCAGGCAGTACAAATTTTGTCATAATCGCCGTCCTGACCGCAGCTTTGAAGGGAACATGGCACTTCCGTCAGGTAAATACTAGTAGTAGTAAGAACTCAGTTCCCTTTTGTTGTAAACATGACGCTGTTAACGTTTAATACAGCTGCGTATAAATGTTTAGTTCTAAAAAATTGGCTTAGTCATTGTCATTTGTCACTGCCCAACTTGTTTTTTTTTTTTTGATAAAAGAAGGGCTCACCCCTTCCGATTTCCATTAAAGAAACCAAAGCAAGTTTGAACTACAAAAGACGAGCAAGACTACTCAAACCAACTACCACTACTACTACTAACATAAGAACCGCGCGAGTCCTCCACTCTGCATCAGGAGGGAGAAGAGCAAAGACATAATATCAAGTATACTTGTTACAGGCCAGGAAACATCAAAAGAGGCTTAAATGAAACCAGCGAAGTCTAGCAGATTGACAACTGCCCGACTTGTTAGAACAGTTGATGTTTCTATGGTAAATCACATTTCTGTTTGACTAATATACTTAAAAATATATGTTCAACAGCAATGCCTGTCCTAGTAATAGTTTATCCAAACGCTGCACTATCTTCGATTACCCATTTTTAGGTGAAAATGCCTGTTGCAGTTGCAACTCCTCCAAGTTACTAAAGCACGGCCAGCAAGCTGTTTGTCTGAACCTTGGCTATAGATCGTTAGAGTTGTCCTGAGTTTAATGTGTGTTCAGATTTAAAATGATTTGACATCCCTGGTATGCAGTTGAATTAGCTTGGGCATGGATGTTACTGTATTTGCAGAAATGTAGGATAACTGAATCTTTGCACTGCCTATGCTCATAATGCAAAAAGAATCGTCTTACCACTTACATGTTACATTAAAACTAAATCCTACATATGGTACCATGGTTCTCAAAGCCTAGATGGAAACTGTATTCATGAGGTGGTACAATGGTTATCCACACCCATTTAGTGAGAAATACGGCATCGGCATATGTCTGTTCCATTGAAATCCCGTTTGTTTTTCCAAGTTGCAAAGAAACCACGAAGTTAATACAGAGACTGGGACAGTATAAACGTTAAGGATAACCTATTTCATTTGAAATTATCTATCAAAGGATAGTGGTATTCCTCTGTGTTACCAACTGGATAATTGACATGTCCATGTATTATTTTGAAGCAATGTCATCACAATTGTTTGTTTAAGAAGTTCGTCCATTTCTGAGCATAGACCCCTTTTTTCAGATCGTGTTGACGGTGCTTGTTATAATCTGGGGACTTCGTTTGGCAGTGTTTTTACTAATGAGGTATGTTATCTAAAACATATATTCTATTGATAGTTCAAATAGCCCCCACTGGACTATGTCTAGCGGAATCTCCTTTTTTGTGAAAAAAATCTTTCAAGACATCTGTTGCCTGAGTCAAAACATTGTTCCTTTGAAAGTGAGTCGCTAATGCTATGCTTTGCCTGATGGTGTCTAGGATTTTGCAATGGGGAGAGGACAAACGGTTTGATGAGATGCGCAGTAACTTGGGAAAATTAGCTGTCTTCTGGACTTTTCAGGTAACTTTTGCAACTTATGCTAAGCAATTAGAGCTGGTTAAATGATCATTGCATTTCTAAAGAGAACCTCACCATGACTTTTATCCTGATTTGGGCAGGCTGTCTGGGTTTGGACTGTCAGCTTGCCTGTTACAATTGTGAACGCAAGTAGCAGAAACCCTTCTATTGAAGCTCGGGATATCATTGGTTGGATAATGTGGGTCATCGGGCTATCTGTGGAAGCTATAGCTGATCAGCAAAAGCTTAAATTCAAGAACTCTCCAAGCAATAGGGGAAAGTGGTGTAATGTGGGCCTTTGGAGTTATACTCGGCACCCAAATTACTTTGGGGAGGTTAGTTTATTTACCGTGATTATTATTTGCATACAGGTCATCTATTAAATCCATCATGATTTAGTTTGCCTTCGTCTATGAATCGATCTATCATGATATCATCCTTCATGGTCAGCAAATCTGTTGCATTCTTGGGTTCTTCTTTCCCTAGATGCACACAACATTGCCCTCACTAAAGTCAAATACATGATACGTATCCTGGTATCGGTGATTGAGGACAGAGTTTGAAAAGCTGAGACAGTTCCAAGAAAGAGATACCAAATTAAACAGACCTAATATGGTAACTACTGGCATTTTGAGTTTCATTGTTGGCTTAATGACATTTAACTGTCAACTGTGTTTCAGCTCCACAGTTTCACTGCAATAAGCTTGAACTTCAGAACTCGCCGCTACAACTAATATGATTGTATAATAGGGTTCGCCGCCTTAGTTCATGGGAAAGTAGTTATAGACTTATAGTTATATTTTAAATAGAAGTAAAGTGCAGATATTAGATAAAGTGATCACCTGCCTACATTAAGACAGGGACATTACTAAAGAGAGAGACATATTGCTCAGAATAATAGGAAAGAGAAATACATGACAAAATTCTACAACTTACAAATTAATTCAGAGCAGGCACTTTTCTGCACACGCTTAGGTTTTAAGTAAAAGACATGTACTGGTGGTGTTCAAATTTAGTATTTTAATAATGAAATAGTAGCTGCACATGTCAAAAAGAACATGCTAGGTAACCGCTTCTGTAGTCTCTCTGATCACAGCCTTGAGCAAGCAAGCAATCTAGGCCAACTTTTGCTGCAGAAACAAGTATATGCCATATTTGCTAAAGCGAGGGCTTGCTGACCTTCTCATGCTTTATCATTGTTTCATCATGAATACCTTTTGTTGATAATAATTCCAATCCTAATTCCAAATAGCCACCTCTGTGCATAGTGAATGTTACATAATTACAGAGTCCAAAAACTTGCTTCTTATATTGTGCACCACCCAACTCTTTATGATATAAATTCTGAGCATTTCAATATGGAGTGTCGAACAAATCCCGGCATACACTTGACAGTTTAATCTGATGCAGATGTTCCTTTGGTGGGGGGTGTTTGTAGCATCAACCCCGGTCCTCTCAGGAGCTGAATGGCTTGTAATCTTGGGACCCATCTTCCTGACGCTCTTGCTTCTTTTCGTTAGCGGGATCCCACTTCTTGAGGTTAACCTCTATTCTTGCGCATCCGAAACCCATCCCTAGTTTGCTAGTATATCTTTTATCTCAATGCTAATGCACCTCATCATCTTTATTTCGCCGTGAAGTCATCTGCTGATAAGCGCTTCGGTCGGTCTGAGGAATACCGCACATACAAGAAAACCACAAGGTAAGCACCATTCTTTTACTAGGTCATTACTAGATCTCTCCCCAACCACTGCTTTGTCGCAGAGGGGTTACTGAAGTTTGTACCGGTTGTGTTCCTCTGCAGCCCCCTTATCCCATTGCCGCCGGTCGTGTATGGAGCCCTGCCCGATTGGTTCAAGGTGGCATTCCTCCTGGAGCTGCCCCTCTACAACCCCGGACCGGAACGCGACCCCGTCAGCTGAGTGCCGAATGTGCATTGTTCTTCTGATCACAAGTGATTATACATGTAATGTACCGCTTTTATTCTGGATGGGTGATTCTTTTGCCATTGATTTCAAGGGTTTACGGTGAAGTTTGTCCATATGTATCTATCTCACGGGATGTTCAAAGCATAGATTGTGTACTTGTCTTTAATAGGGATATTGTGTACTTGTGTTAATAGTGGAAAAGTTTGATTTTATGTTGTACCCAAAGTCTGAATTTTTCTCTAGTTTCTATGGGAATTTTACTCTTTGTCACGAACTCCATTTAAAATTTCTATTTCTAAACGGGCTTCGATGGTTTGTGAAGCTTGCATGAGTTCATATTTATCAGGATTCAGATTACAGCAAGAAGGATTAGCTTCTTGAGCTCGGAGAGAACTTTGGCATGGCAACAGAATCTGCACGGGGCGTTGTCCAACACAAACTGAAACAGCATATGCGGATCATCTATCTACTGACGTCCGGCTCGCCGGAGGGCCTCACGCCGGCGCGATGGACACCTTGTCGACCTGCACGACGTACTCGAGCGTCGCCCCGGGGGGCACCTGCGCGCCATCGTCCCCGAAATCGGCGCCGTCCTCGCCGAAGCCCAGGCTCGCCGGGACGACCACGCGCCGCTTGCCGCCGTTCCGCATGGACCGCAGCGCGTACTCGATGCCCTCGCACATCCCCCTGGTGTAGGGCCTGGAGCCCATGACGAGCGCCAGCGGCCGCTTCCCGTCGCCGAACGTGTCCACGAACGCCTCGCCGCCGCCGCCGGCCACCCGCCCCTGCAGGTCGATCACCACCAGGTCGCCCGGCCGCGGCACGTCGCCGCCGCCCACCCGCATCTCGGTGTACCTGAACCATTGTCGCCGTCAGTGTGAGGTTTCACTCCGGTGCTACCCAAGAATGAGCTTACCGGATTCCGTTGGGCAGGACGACCTCCTGCTCCTCCTCCACATCCCTGCGAGAAGGAGACACACATGGGTGACGAGAGCATGGAGGATGGTTATTAATGGAGGTGAGGGGCCGAGGTCGGCGGCTGACTTGGTGTTGGCCTGCTGCTGCGCGACCTCGAGGCGGGTCTTGAGCTGCTCCGACACGACGCCGAAGGCCAGGAAGCCGACCCACGCCAGCCCGGCGCCGATGCCGAACCGCCGGGTCAGCGACGACGCGACCCAGTCCGTCGAGTCGGCCGACGTCGTCGCCGCGCGCTTGGGCGCCGGCGCCCTCGCCGGTGCCGCCTGCGCCTGCATGGGCTCTTGCTGCTGCTGCTGCTGTGGTGGCGGTGGGGGCTGGTCGGACGGCGGCTGGGCGCTGGGCGGGCGCGAGGGCGGCGCGCACGAGACGTGCGGCTTGGCGGCGGGGCGGGCGAGGAAGGCCGGGGAGCTTCCCAAGAAAGTGGCCATGGCGGGCGGACACCGGCACGATTCGTACGGTGAGCAGAGCAGAGCAGCTGGAAGGAGGATGGAACCGGATATTATTTGGCTAAACTTTTTGTTCGCTACGTTTTTGAGATTTTTTTGGCTGTGCTTTTCTGCGGTTTCTTGGACCGAAATGTGGCCACACACACGCGCGCCGGCTTATCCGATTTTTTTGGCAGCTCGAGAGGCTTATCCGATTATCTCCTTGCTACAGAAATATGTTTTGGAGCTCGTTTTTCTGAAAAAAATCAAAATAAATGTTTCAATGCTTTCAAAATTCAGAGAAGAAAAAAAGATCCACATTATCATATGGATGCACACGGCGTACTCACAAATTTTCATGATGAAATGCATTGACACGAGATCAGGGGCGAAACTGGGCCTGGGGCTCAGGCGTGGCCCAGAAATTCGTTTTGGAGCTCGTTTTTTTCTGAAAAAATCAAAATAAATGTTTCAATGCTTTAAAAATTAAGAGAAAAAAATCCACATTATCATATGGATGCACACGGCATACTCACAAATTTTCGTGATGAAATGCATTGACACGAGAGCTACACAAAAAGATAAATTGCTGAGAATGAAAACAGTGACGTGAACAGTATGTGTACTCTTTACTACTCCCTCCTTCCCATTACGTAGGGCGTGGAAGCTTTTGGCACGGAAAATAACGCAACTCTGGTTGCAAATTACTGAGCCATAGTTACAGAAAGTTTCCTCCGAGATATCCTTTAACAAACATGGTTGCCTGATCCAAAATTAGCGATGGTTAGCTTACACTCTCTGTGCAAGAGAGAATATCGGGAGTTGAGTGCTAACATGCCTTAGATATTGATTTTTTTTTAAAACGCTTAGACGCCTAAGATTTTGGAGAGGAGGGAGTATATAAAACCAACGATAGCCACTATTTTGTCTAGCTCATGAATCAATGTATTTTCTCATGAATTTTTACACATGTGTAGTATTCATCCACATGTCAATGTGGATTTTTCTTTAAACATCGACATGTTATTTTTTAATGTTCTTTAAAAAGGGCTCCATGCAGCCCGAGTACCAAAACACCGCAATGCTTACTTTATACATTTTTATACACTTAGGACATTTTCGACGCTGACCCACACCGTGTCCGTTCGCTGATTGGTGGTGACCAGTCTTGTGGACAATGATGTTGGAGCTATTGATTATTGTCCGTCCCTAGGGTGACGGTTCGGTATCCCTCCGGCGATTACGGGGCGATTAGGGTTCGGGGCCGCGGCGCCGCCCCGCCTTCGTTCCTGATCGATCATTTCTCTCTGGGAGCTGCTCGCTCTCTCTCGCTAATCCGTTCCCATCGAGCCTCGTCGCAAACCAATCCACATCTCAGCCTTCTGTGTGCTTCCTAGGGCGCACGTCGTAAAACACTAAAACCCTAGGCAGGAAGAACTGGGGCGGAGAGGTACAGGGGGACGATGGAGGGCGTTGCGGGTATGATGAGGAGTCTGAAGCTGTCTGAGGAGGAGAGGAAGGGGGTCAGAATCCGGTCGGCGGGGAAGGAGAAGGGTAAGGCGGTGGAGTTCCAGGCAGTGGGAAGGGTGGTTTCGGAGAAGCCGGCACATCCTGATGCGATTAGCCTTTCTCTGGGAAGGGTTTGGTGCCCAATAAAGGGGATCGATTGCAGGGAGGCAGGAGACAATAGATTCGTTTTTATCTTCAAACAAGAATCGGGAAAGAGGAAGGCTCTAGAGGATGGACCTTGGATGTTTGACAAGGAGTTGGTAGTGGTGGAGGACTATGATCCAGCAAAAAGAATTGAGGATTGTGACTTCGATGAGATTCCAATATGGGTAAGAATTTTCAACCTGCCCTTGGGCATGATGCACGAGGATTCAGCAGAAGAGATTGGCAATATCGTTTGGGAGGTTTGTGGAGGTGGATGCGGGTGTGGACGGAAAAGCTATTGGCAAGTTCCTAAGGGTAAAGATCAGAATGAAGATCAACAAACCAATAATGAGGGGCTTTACCCTAGATGATGATGAGGCCAGAGAAGGGGAGGAGAGAAAGAAGAAGATGAACATAGACGGGAAGGAAGAAGAGGATACGGAGGGGTTCTAGTGCCGGTTCGAATATGAGTTCCTCCCCGATTTTTGCTATACCTGCGGTCTGATTGGCCATGTTGCAAAGGAGTGCGCTACCAAGCTCAGCAAAGGAGAGAAAGCCCAGTTTGGTCCGTGGTTGCGAGCGGATATTGGTAGAAGGAGATTCAGTTATGAGGAAGAACGTACTTGGAGGGGGAAAGGAGACAATTCAGGAGGTAGCAGGTTTTATGGTATTGGACGGTCGAGTGGCAGGACGGGCAGCGGAAGTGGAAGTGATAGTTTGAGCTGGAGAAAGGGGGATGAGCTAAATAAGGGCAAGAAAGGAGGAAGATTAGAGGGGGAGGAAGAAGTAATGAGCCCAGTTAAGCTTCTGAAGTATGAGCCACCACGCGGAGGGAACCCAAAAAAGCTTGTTATTGATGAACCAACGGAGCAAAGGAAATCACCGATGAGGGACAACACTGCTCAGGCTCAAGAAGTAGTGCAAGGAAGGCAGGAGCCTAGCGTGACTGATGGAGGAGTGTTGACTAAGAATGTTACGCCTGCTGAAATAATACCAGGGAAGAATGATCAACTAGGGCTAGCTCCGGAGCTCGCACAGCCAGGAGGTGGCAAGGGTTCGGTTGACAAAGCCAACATCTATAAACCAGCCAAATTCCATCGGATTCCTAGAAGTGAGGACAAGGAGCAAGCACAGGGACAGAGTTTTTGGAGAAAATAGCTGGGAGCAAGAGGAGCCATGATGGGGTGGATGGAGTGGTTGCGGGGCCGGAGGAGGAAGCCAAAAGGGGGCGGCTGATGGAGGTGGACGTGCCAGGGGTCGGCGAGGGGAGGAAGTAAGAGAGTATCAACACAAACCAGATATCGGCCGGGCTGTCGGAGCAGCCCCGCCGGACACAATGAAACTTATCAGTTGGAACTGCCGGGGGCTCGGGAACGGCCCGACAGTTCGTTCGCTCCTCGAATTGGGGAGAGTGGAGGATCCTGATGTGCTCTTTTTGGCGGAGACAAGGCTTACGGAGAAGGAATTGGACAGGTTTCGGTGGACACTCGGTTTGACGAACATGACAGCTTGGAATCCGGTGGGTAGAAGCCGTGGTGTGGCATTGTTTTGGAAGAGAGGGATGGATGTGTCACTATGGTCTTATGGGCGGAGGCACATAGATGTTGATATCACGGAGGAAGATGGTTCAGTTTGGCGCATGACTGGGATATATGGGGAGTCGGCAAAGGAGAGGAAGAAGGAGACATGGAGAACACTCAAGCTACTCAAGCAACAACATCAACATGGTCGGCCATGGATGTGTTTGGGTGACTTTATTGAAATTCTCTCCGGGATTGAGAAGGTGGGGGGCGCTGAACGATCACAGGGAATGATGGGAGGATTTAGGGAGGCGTTGGAGGTTTGCAAGTTGGCGGATTTGGGTTTTGAGGGGGACATTTACACGTGGCGGAATCATAGCAAGGAGTTGAGCACGTATATCTATGAGAGACTTGATAGAGCCACTGCTAACGCGGCGTGGAGTACAAAGTTCCCGGAGCATGCAGTGGTGAATGGGGCGCCTCGCCACTCGGATCATCGGCCTATTATTGTCAGCATGATGGGCCTCGAAAGGAGTTGGAAGGGAGGAGATAGAGGATTCCGGTTTGAGGCGAGATGGCTACAAGGGGAAGGATGTGAAGAGGTGATCCGGGAAGCTTGGGAGAGGAGCTGGGAGGGGAGACAAGGTGGCGTAGCTCATGCATTGAAGGAGATAGCGGGGAAGATGAAGGTGTGGGACAAGGAAGTAGTTGGAGCAGTGGAAGGGAGGTTAAGAAAGGAAAAAAACAGACTTGGAGCGGTGTATGAAGGAAGTAGTGTCGCAAGAGAAGATAGAGGAGGAAGCAAGGCTAAGATGCTGAGGAGAAGAAGAATACTATGTGGAAGCAAAGAGCGCATGTGTGGTGGTTACTGGAGGGAGATAGAAACACTCGGTTTTTCCATCTCATGGCTTCGGTGCGCAAGAAAGCAAATAAGATTAAGGAGCTAAGAAGGGAGGATGGGTCGATAGTAGAGGAGAAGGATTTAACTAACTATGTGTGTGCATATTTTCAGGAATTATTCACTTCTACAGCCGGTACTCATGTTGATGAACTTACTGCCAAAGTGCAACCAAGAGTTACTGTTGCTATGCTCAATGTACTCGATGCAGAATTCACGCGGGAGGAAGTGAAAGCGGCCCTATATCACATTGGTGATCTGAAAGCCCCGGGTCTGGATGGCATGCCATCGATAGTATTCAAGAAGCACTGGCATTTTATGGGCGATTATATTGTGGAGGAAGTGCTTGCGGTCTTGAACGGTGGGGCAATTCCGGAGGGATGGAATGATACAGTGGTGCTTCTAATACCCAAGGTTAAAGACCCAAACAGAATCAAAGATCTTCGCCCGATAAGCTTGTGCAACATTTTGTACAAGTTGGTTTCCAAAGTGTTGGCAAATAGGCTCAAGGTGGTGCTCCCAGAAATCATTTCAGAGAACCAGAGTGCGTTCATACCCGGAAGGTTGATTACAGATAACGTGTTAATAGCATATGAAGCTTCTCACTTTCTTAGGCACAAGAAAAATGGGAAGGAAGGGGTGGCTGCGATCAAAGCGGACATGAGCAAGGCATACGATCGTGCGGAGTGGAGATTCCTTGAGGCAATGCTGTCCAAACTTGGCTTCCGCAGACGATGGGTAGAACTCATCATGAAATGTGTCACAACGGTCCGATACCAAATCAAAGTGAATGGAGTGTTAACAGAATAATTTGTGCCAACTCGAGGGCTGAGGCAGGGGGATCCCCTCTCCCCTTACCTCTTTGTTATTTGTGCCGAAGGATTGTCCGTGTTATTGCATGAAGCTGAGGAGCAGGGGAGGATCAGTGGCGT